AAAGCCGTTTTCTCAGCTAACGAAGGCTTGGAGACAATAAGGGGTGTGGATAAAATTGTAAAGGGCGAGGAAAACGCCCTTATTCCTGATAATATGAACGTTTCAAACGTTCCATGTTTAAATTGGGCGCCGCTTGTATCAACTTACGTCGAGCACACATTTAGTACATTCAAGGCTTTTCTTCGCGAAAATCGAATGAAAATGCTGCCAGAAAACTTCAAAATGCATCTTGTGGTTCAATGTTACTAGAACTATACAGATTAAAGTTTTATGAGTTAGAAACTCGAAAGGATAAAATAGTCAAAGATTCAAAGTACAAATTTTCCATATAATGAAACTAGTTCATAGTTTTTCTCTTTTTACTTGTAATATAAACATTTCTAAAATAAATGTATTTTTTGATTGTTCTTCGTATTTTCTGTCTTTTTTTAGTGCCTTTTTCTGCCTTTTTCGCTATTTTGTTTTGCCTTTTTTGCAACACCTAGTGCCTTTTCCTGCCTTTTTCACTATTTTATTTTGCCTTTTCTAGCCTATTTCGTTATTTTATTTTGCCTTTTTTATAGGTTTTAGGTCCTAAAAATCCGTTCCCTGATTATTACATTCTCTAGAGAAATCTCGGAATAATTTCTGAAGTAAAGTTGAGAGGGTCTGAGGACTTTCAAGGGCTCTTTGACAGGACTTCAGGTTTTTTGACTGGAAAATATTAAGAGATTGTCCATAATAGGTCAATGACTCTTTCACTTCATGGATCGATTATCGGCTCCGTCCAGAATCTGGAACATGGCACCCTCTAAAATGCCTAATTTAGTAAATGGCCTAAGGAATCGGCACACTAGATCTATAAAGGTCGCTTTTATTTCCTCAAATAATAATAAAAGAACATTTTGGGCATTATTGAATAGAATTTAATTTAAAAAAGTTATGTAAAGGCATTATAAAATAGTTCACAAAACACCCCAAAAATTCGGTTATTAAATATATCCCCAATATGCATTTGGAAAATATTTGCACAATGAAATATATAGATACAAAATATTTTGGTCCATTTCTTACATTATGGTACTCTTTTTGGTACACAAAAAAAGAAGTAAGTGGCAACCGTGACACTGCGTATAATGGAAGTATTCAATTCAAATACGCCCGTATTAAAATGAAGCATTTTTGCACGTTTTGCACCTCTCGGATGCTTTTTTACTTCGCTTTTATTAGCTCGGGATGTAACTATGTAATATTTATGCACCTAAAAGGTGCAGCGATTTCCATTCTCAAGTTACATACCTGATGACAGTACGTGTTTTATTCTTAGAATAGCCAAGGCTAAACCCAATCCACCAAAATAAGCTAACTGAAAATAGAAAAGGACCGCCCTTCTCTCTGTACTTCAACAGACTAACTCGCCAACACACGGGCTGCCACCCTTCTTTATTTTAAAGTATTTTGCTCATGCAACTCGCAGGTTGCCGGATTTATATATTCAAATTCAATACTTAACAGTCCTGCCGAAAACCAACGGTTTTCCAATAGTAACAACTTGATTTAGTTCACTAGTTCTCTTTCAGCTCCACCGGTAGAATACAAACTTTCTGCACTGGCCTACGTAGCGTATTCGTTGCTGTCTGAATCGTTGCTGACCGAACCAGATTGTCCTCGCTCGGATGAAGTTGTATGATACGCCCCATGGCCCACTGACCTAGTTGCACTCTTTCAGAAGATTTCCGCCATTTTTTCTGCTCTTGGAGTGTCGTCAAATACTCTTTGTGCCACCGCTCCCAAAAGGTCTTAACCATTCGCTGTCGCTCTTTCCAAAGCTGCGCACCCTTGGATGACGATGTGTCGGGAATCGCAAAGGGTAAAGGAAGAACCAATGGCTCTCCGTTCAATAAATGCCCAGGTGTCAGTGCTTGAAAATCCCCTGGATCTCGCCCAGTGGATGCAACGGACTCGAGTTGAGTATCGCTTCAACCTGAGCAAGCAGCGTCCTCAATTGCTCGAACGGAAGCACTCTTAGCGCGATGACGCGGACCAGATAGTGCTTCATCGATTTTACTGCCGCTTCGTATATTCCTCCATGGTCCGGAGCTGCTGTTGTCATGAATCGCCACTCGATACCTTTGACCGACAAAATGTTGGAACACATCCTCCTTGTGCCAGCTCTCCATTGCTCTTTTGCTGTCCTTCGCTGCTCCCACAAATGCTGTACCATTATCGCTATAAATTCGCTCGCAACGACCACGACGGGATACAAATCTTTCATAACAGGCAATAAAAGCAATCGTCGTTAAGTTGGTCACCAGATCTAAATGGGCAGCTCTAGTTTTAAGGCAAACAAACACTGCAATCCACACCTTTTGCCTTACAATTTGATTGCCTTCTCTGTCTATCATTTTAATGTCTGCAGGACCTGCATAATCCATCCCGACGTGCAAGAATGGTTTCCCTGCAGTTACACGGTCCGCAGGCAAATCTGCCATCATTTGAGCTTCAACTCGATGGTTATGGCGAAAGCAGGTATATATTTATGTAAAAAGCTTCTTAGCGAACCACGCAGTCGTGGGATCCAGTAGTTTTGCCGTAAGAACTGCATCGTAACTTGCACTCCGCCGTGCTTCGTCTCGAGATGTGCATGGCCCATAATCAACCATGCCAGCCTGGAACCATCAGGAATTATGACTGGCTGGCGCATATTCTCGTTCAAACTCGCATTCTTAAACCAGCCGTGCACTCTGATCAACCCATCATTCAGCTCTGGCTTGAGAGATTCAATCCTGCTTTTATCAGGAATACTATTCCCAGCTTCTAGACAAACCATCTCTTTCTTGTAAAGCTTGTTTTGTTCCTGATTCAGTAGAAACTACATGGCCTTTGTTCTTTGCTCAGTAGTCGGCGACATGCTTATATGTTCTCCCCTCTTCTTCCTTTTATGTACCGAAATGAATTTCAATAAATAAACCACTACGTGTACGGCTCTCTCCAATTTGTCAACATACTCTATCAAGGACACTCTATCCTTTGTTGCCCTTCGCGTTATCATCAACGGTTCATCTACTTCTGCTACAACGCAGGTATTAAACTCACTCTCAGCCTCCGCCACTGTGTTTGGCACAAAAACACAGTCAGGCCAACGTTCGGGATTATATTTTAACCACGGCGGCCCGTATATCCATAGTTTACTGTGAATAATCTATGAAGTCTTCATACCACGGCTCAACATGTCAGCTGGATTGTCCTTTGTATTAATATATCTCCACCTCTTAACATCAGTATTCGTCTGTATAGATGCAACTCGGTTGGCAACAAAAGTTTTCAAACCTCGCGGTATTTTACCAATCCAGTTGTGTAATCCATCCACAACGTGTAACTCACACCCGAAAGTTCCATCGCCCTCGTTACATCCACCAGTAAACGGGCAGAAGCTCCGCCGCTGCCAACTCTAGCCTTGGCACTGAAACAGTTTTCATCGGTGCGACACGTGACTTAGATACTGGTAGCGTGCTCTTTACCTCCATGCCATCGTTCTCAACACGCACATAAATCGCCGCACTATATGCCATGTGTCTGAGAACCCGTGAAATTCAACCTTTCCACCATCACCCATGCCAATCGATCTCTCTAAGGTAAACTCTTCAAGGTATTTTATCTCTTCCCAGTATGTACGGAATCTCTCTTCCATCTCTTTGGGTACTGGTCCATCCCATTCTACTCCGATACGCCATAGATCCTGTATGATAATCTTCCCCAGAATTGTAACTGGAGAGATACATCCGTTTGGATCGTAAAGTTGCGCCACAAAACCTAGAATCTTCCTCTTAGTAACCCCTCCTTCAAACTTTGGGGTCCTTACCACAAACGAAAACATGTCTCGAGTTATATTCCACTTCAGCCCTAGCACTGATGCCTTCTCTTCGTCTACGAACATACTCTCCTCTTCATTCTCTGATAGCATTTCCTTGATCAATCTCTTGGAGTTCGACTTCTACTTCTTCATTTCAAAGCCTCCGCTTGCTAGTACATGCTGCACTTCTTTCGCCATCTTTATCGCTTGACTTTCACTGCCCGCACCAGTTATACAATCATCCATATATAGGTCACCTTCGATGATTTGAGAAGCCTCTGGAAATTCCTTCATAGCATCCCGTACACACTGTACCACCGCCCGTACTGCATTAAAGGTTCACAGTCTCTTTCCCTCCAGAAAATCCGTTATAAG